CTGCCACTCTCTATTTATCTATCTATTCATCTATCTCTTTTTCTGTCCACCTCCCTCCATTTTTTCCTCTTTCTTTCTCTCTCTCTAACACACAAACACAGCTTCTCTCTCTCCCTCTAATCTCTCTCTCTCCATGTCTGTCTGTCTTTCTCTCTCTCCTTTTCATCTCCCTCCTTTCCTTACTTCCTTCCTACCACCTTAAATATTTCATTCTCTCTCTCTCTTTTTTCTCTCAGTCATTCTCTCTCTCTCTCTGTCTACCCTTCTCTTATTTCCTCCTCTCTCTTTCTTATTTTGTTTCCCTCTCTTTTCCCCACCCACTCTCATTCTCTCTGCCCTCCTCTTTCTTTCTATGTCATTTTCTCTTTACATATACATTTATATGTCTCTCTCACTTTCTCCCCCCTCTCTCCCCTTTTGCCTCTCTCTCTCTGTATATCTGCCTGTCTCTATCTATCCATCTATTTATCTCTCTTTGACGGAATTCCATGATCTTATCTAAACTATTCCAGTGATTTCATGAGTCGTCCTCAAGACTATGGATGACGTGTAAATACGATAAATACGATAAATAATGGCTTAATCTGTTTGGAGAAAAACAATTTCTCCGACAATTCAAGAGATTTTCCTCCTTTCTGATGGCTGAAATGACTTGCGAATTTCATGCCAAGACCAAGGGATGATGCTTAGCATAGCTGGTGTATTGGTGGCGAGGATGGAGTTCCACACCTACCAGAATCTAGTTTGAATGGATTTGAGCGACTCTTAGTCGTTTGTTGTTTGTGCCATTATGACGGCCTTATTTTATTCAGCATTGGCCATGTGGATATTTTAATGAGACCGCAATTGAACTGAAAGACTGACACCCACTCTTATGCTTTCTTGCAGCCGTTCATTCAGCGTCCACCTCCGAAATGGCTCCGTCCCTGTCGAAGCTGACCCCCGCCTTGTACGAGATCACCACTCAGACGAGCAAGAAGGTGCTCACGTTCGTGCTAGAGGCGGGCACTCCCAGGAGACAGGCTGGCAAGACCTTTTACGAGTACCTCATACAGGTGAAGATGATCCCTATGGCAACAATACGCAAGAAGTTTAATCAGAGTCAAAGGAAAAAGATGGAGAAGAGTGATATCACGACATATGATGTCTCACTTTTATACATCTGCATCATATTCGGCTGTGATGGATTGGCACCTCCGGGAGATGCTCAGTGGACGACGTTTGGCAACACACTTGAATGGTGCATAACATCCATCAAGAATCGTAGGAATGACTTCCTACATGAAGAGTATGTTGTGGATGATCAATTGTTTTTTAGGGTGATAGAGGAGCTGAGAGATCTGCTTAATAAGGCCCTCAAGAAAGCAGCAGAAATCTACAACATAGATGATGATATCATCCAAAGTAAATTGGAAGATCTAAACAAAGAGATCAACAGTCTCAGAGACAATCCCTCACAGACATCAGATTGTCACGGAATAGTTCTCGACAGACTGCGCCAGCAGGTGAAAGTCGAAGGGAAACGGGAGCTGAAGAAGATTTACAGAAAGGAGTCCAGTTTTGGACCAGCTTCGAATTTGCTTGGGAAATCGAAGGTGCGTGTGGACAAGGTCTTCACCACGATGAAAATCAAGCAAGGTGGCTCACATGAGTTAATCCAATATAGTGAACTTCTTGCAAAAGCAGAGGAGAGACGGGGACAGAAAGGGAAAGACTGTTCCGTGTTGCTCATTGAAGGGCCTGCAGGTGTTGGCAAGACAACCCTCACAAGAAAGATGATAAGTGACTGGGCCTCAGGCACTAGCTCCATGGAGACTCTCACTGATTATGATTTTGTATATTTAAGTAGGTGCCGAGACGAAATAAATTCCCTTGGCCACCTCCTTGGCTCTTTGATGTCCAAATTTAAAATTAAAGTCCAAGGGGAACATGGTCTAATTGAGTGCATTCAGCAAAATAGACTCATGTTCATTGTGGATGGGCTCGATGAACTTCATTCATCAACAGATAGAATGCTGAGAGAAATCATGGAGATGGGCAGAACCGATGACATAACTATTCTCTGCACAACACGGCCCAACAAAGTCCCTGATTTCAACAGATATGTACCAGACAATTATGACATTATGCATGTCAAGGTTTTGGGTATAGAAGAGAACAGACGTGAAGAGTTTGTCCGAAATTATAGCCAGGCTTTACAGGACCCAGGCTCCATTGACAAAGACATTTCTGGTCTTCTCGGGTATCTGGCAAGAAAAGACAGTCGGATGCAAGCCCACTGGCGGTTCCCCTTCAACTTGGTCCTCGTGACAATATTATGGTTCCTTGACCCACATGCTGTGAACAGTCTGACCACGGCAACAGAACTCTTCACAAAGACACATGAGTTGTGCATGAAAAGATTGCTTCAGAGGCTGTCTGACCATGAAGAAACAAGAACTCTGGACCATGCTGAACTGAAACAAAAAACTGAGAAGTTCCTAAAGATGTTCTGCAAAGA